TTTTATGTTGAAACCCTTGGTATTTTAAAAGATGAATATCATTTTATACATTTTTCGAAAAAGCTAACAGATTGAGCAAGATCAAGAGTTACATAAAAACTTTAGGAACAGTATTTTTCAAGCTGCAAAATCCACATCTTCCAAACACTACTTCAAATTATTTTTTTTTCTTTTTCTTCGTTCAATTTTTCATATGGATTTCTATAATTTACCTGTCATAAGTAATACCATACGTAGAACATCAGATTAATTTGTGAACTGTTGTCGAGTTTCTGCTTCGGGTTGGATGTGGGTGTGTCTATTGATGACTCCTTCGCATACATCCAAAATTATTCCACCAACATATTGTAAATACCTACGTCAAAACTAAGCAAATTGTCTTGCAGTCCATCGGCAAAATTAAAAGGATTTTCGAGTAGAGCTAGATAAAGATCTGATAGATCATTCGATGAACGAAGCGAAAATAGAATGGTTAAAACCTCATCAGGTGACAGTTCTTCTCTCAAACTTTAAAGAAAGTCCTAGAGAAATACAACAGAATTATCAAGATGTAATGGCAATCAGCCAAAAATATGGTAGACATGACTTATTTATAACGTTTACCTGCAATTCAACATGGTAAGAAATCGATTTATTGATGATATCTTGAAGAAGCACATATTGGGACGAATGATAACCAATGTCTTTGTAATCGAGTTTCAAATATGGGTATACCTAAGTACGCACCAAAACTGAAACTAGTTTTGAACTTTTGGTGTTGAATTTTGGTAGTTGATATGGTTTTGGTATTTGAGTATTGGTTTTGGTTTTGAGACACAACGGGAAAAATGATTTTTACCCACATTCAACACCTACCCACACCTGTACCTGTCATCAGCAATATCGATCGGAATCTGCGTGAACAGAAAGTTTTAATCATATGGGATACAGTTTGATAATGTACTATAGACGTTTACTTAAGTAAATATACCTATCGAAGATGAAACAAATTGTTTCAAGAACAAAGCAAAGGATCGAAAAAATTTTGAGATCACTTTGGCCCTATTGAAAAGTGAAGGTAGTTTGACACGAGTCTTATAGGACTGACTCGAAACTTTGACCTGAACACTTACTGAAATTTCGAACCCAAATTACTTTTGCTTTCTAATATGGCTAAAATGGCGTTACAACATCCTCGGTCCTTGTTTTAATCTCTATACGGACGAAAAAGAGCTTTCTTTTTCAATTTGTTATAAATATATCTTCTCGGTCGCACTATCTGGAAAAAATTATCATGAGTCATCGAACTGATGATTTGATAGTGGTAGCTTAATGGCCTCTAGAAATGATTGACTTTTGATCGGTATATAATACTATACTCAAAGTTTATTTCATGGGATCACTCATAGTCCACTTTATCAATCACGCTTTCGAGAATTGATCAAAGCGTTGTAAATTAATCTTCTACGGTCATTAATGATCAAAGAATAAAAAGTTTTTTGTTTGGTTTCAAAGTAAATGGAATGACTTCTGTATAAAAATATAGAGGCATCAATTCAGTCACATGCAGCCATTAAGAAACAAGCAAGGACTCATGAAACTCAATAAACACAATCAATTTCGTGAAACTAATGATTTTTAATGAAGTTTTAAGAAAGGTTATCGAAGTTGAGCAATCAAAATATGTAAGTTCTTTCTCAAAATTTTCAAGTTAATTAATTTTTTTCCGTTGGGAAAGGCTTATTGTGAGAGGGAATGTCGTTCAACGAAATTCAGAGCTATTCGATCATATCCTATGGGATTGAATATTTGTTAAGACGCCTATAAAAATGCTATGATAAAATCAGTAACAGAGCCGACGGATGAGATACGGTGGGTGTCCAACGAAATCTGGCAATGATATTTGGTAACATGCAACGATGAGTTACCTCATCTAAGCAAGACAAGTCATCACAAAGTCTCTGTTTTTAGAATGTGGTCAATGCTCATGATAGTTTATCAGAGATCCCACAAGGTAATATTTTCATACTCTGTTTGTCCTAGCCTCACTCTGTCCTGTTATCGAAAATGCATTGGAAAAAGAATGTACCCTGTTTTGCAAAGCCGATGCTCTGTCTCAATTGTATTTTTCAATCGAGTTCAATAGCAATAACGTTTACATATTTCAAAAGTAAACCTTCAAGGCGTCGATATATTTGTTGAATCACTATTTTCAAGATGAAATTTTTGGTCTTTTTCAATAAGAATTGTTTGAATTGTTTAGGAGTATAAGAATTTGAAGAAGAGGATGTCATCATTAGAACCAAATGGTATAGAACTCATAAATTAATGTTTTGCGTTAATGTGGCAAAAGAACGAAAATAAGAAAATAAAATAAAATTTTTCAATGGCCATTTTATTTATTTATTTATTTTTCTATCATTTTCACTCGAATTTACATCTATAGATGAAAACTCTGCATATTAGTTGGTATGATTCTCTAGAGTTTGTTTTCGATTTTTGACACCCAAAAATTGCTCTTTTCGAAGATGAAAACTTGAAAATTAGGTGTTCAGACTTGCAGGTTATAAGTGCCTAATCCTATCCTGCCTTATAAACAGCTCTGTAGTCTATCACGTTCTAATGGATTTTTACGGCAAAACTCAATCTTACTGCGACACTCGCATCTGATGAAATATTTCCGGTGGCGCCCGACCAAATTCCAATCCTAGAGATCCAAATGTGATTTTGCTACTCTGTTATCGATAACATTCCTAGAGGATAGCACCAGATTTCATAGAATTTTCATAAAAACGAACCGAAATCCGAGAGGACTTTACAGGATCCGACAAGATCGAACTGTTAGATTAATTCTTCTGAGTTTAAACCAAATATAATTTTGTATATTCTTTTCCCGTATGCATAGGCGGCGCAAGATCAGTTTTGTAGGGGTAGCAATAAACTGTTAAATGAGCTCTATTTTCTTCCCCTTACTCAGTCCGATGCAAAAAACTTTTTTAATGAGAACTGAACTTCTCGATTGTGCTGTATGCAAAGCTCGAGTATTAACTACTCTAATAGTGCATTAAGTCTGCTGTACTTAGTATATGCACTTTTTATTCAGTACGTTTACTTCTTCAATTGTAGTCTTCAATCACTATTACATGTTCACAAATGTTTATTATTAATAGGAAAAAATACGTTCTTGTTCGAGAATGATATAGAATTATTTTGTTCATTTTCAAAAAAATGTTTTTCTTTTATCTTTTTTCGATGGAAAAGCAATTCCAATAGCATCAATATCAATTTCATTACCTCGTTCAAACGGGTGTCTCATAATAAATGACCGATTTTTGTATTTCAGATTTTAATCTTTAAAAATTTTTATTAAAAAGCCGAGTATGCCATAAGATGCAGCGTGAAAAGCTCTACAATTCACAAAGCAAGACTGATTTTGGTTGTTTAGTTTTGATTTTGAAAAAGACAAAATTAATTCTATACGACCACTTTTCGAAGGTGTCAAAAAACCATTTCTTCGCTCTTATTTCATTGGTATATTTCTTAATATGTTTTCTCTAAAAAAGTATAACACACCAGAAGGTGCAGAGTGAAAAGATCTACAATCCGCAGAGTAAAGCATATTTTGGTTGTGTAATTTTTGTTTTCAAAAAAAAGCAAAATTCCGTGAGAATAATTTTCATTGTACCTAAAAGATCATTTTTCTATTCCAATAAGCAAGTCATTTTTTTTCTTATGTCATTCTTTTATCATCTAATTGGTTTTAACGTATATACCTTAAGATGCAGCGTAAAAAGTAAAACTTTTTTAATTGTATACTTTATGTTTTGAAAAGAACCAAAAATCTGTGAGATCGTTTTGCGCAGCGTCGAAAATTGATTGCGCAGAATTCCATTCATTTTCAAAAAATACCAAGTATACAGTTAAAATAAGCTTTCCTTTGTGCCTGCAGAGATCTTTACACTACATCTAGTGCTATTTTCTGTGCTTCTTTAAAATGCATTTAAAGATTAAAATATGAAATAGAAAAATTGGCCATTTTTTATGGGACACCCGATGTATATTGCAGGAAATAGATACATCAGGATGGCAATAAACAATTCTTGAGACTAAAATTCAATCTTCATACATAAAATACAGAGTTACATCGAATATATGTATGTTGAATAAAGTAGTTTTACTCTAGAATATACAAGAAGCATGAAAATTTAGAGGAAGCAATAAGTTCTTATTGATTCCAATAATTTATTTTAGGGGTTGCAATTGCTAACTATTGCATTGCTGGCGCGCCGCCTATGCCCGTATGTAACTTGTTTTTTACAATTAAAAATCGAAAAAAGCCTGCCAACAATGTTTCGGTAGATGGCGCTGATATACGGTCGCATGAGTTTTTTCTATTGAATTAGTTTTATTTTATTGTATTTTCAATCGTACATTAAAATTTTCTAGATTATTTTTCGTCTAAATTTTTCGAATTTCATTTAATTTTTTTTTTGATAGGGTTCAACAAATGTTCCATATGTCTCTTCGTTTTCTTATTAATTATCGATCGATTTGTCTTCTTCAGTCATGTTTATTCTTTTTTTTTTGTTTATTTTTTACATTCTGTCAGAATAATAAACTGTATTATTAGTTTTTTTTAAACAAAACGTATCTTCAAATCGAATAACTCAAGCGATAAAAATGTCTCATGTTTTTATGAATCTCGATAATATTTGTTTTGAACAAAAGAAATAAATATTGATAAATTAACTTTTGGAAAAAATTATTTTTCGTCTTCGTAATACATTTTCCTTAACTTCTATATTGTTAGTTAAGATGGTTGAAAAAGCTCAATTTGAACAATAACAATCCTAGTCTCTTTAATATATAACATACACGCTTAAAATACATTATTGTACTCGGAATTTTTTATAATTAAAAAAAAATTAATTTCTGATTGAACCAATGAAATGTTTCATCTGATTTTTTTTAGTATAATGGACGAATTTCCCTAGTGAATTTTTTTTCTGTAATATTAAATAATGGCTTCGTGCATGTATCGTGTAGGCGGTAAGTTGAGTAATAATTTGCTTTATTTAGTTTTACGATTTGCGAAATTATTATTTAGATTACGTCTACTTCGAAGGAAATCCAACAGAACCTTATATAATTCGACGAATTGAAGAATTAAATAAAGTACGTATGATAAATTTTCATGTGTAAGGAATACTTGGACAAAGTGCAATGTGCATGTATCGCAGACGCCCTAGGACTACTTATCAATGACTAAAAATTTGAAAGATCGTTTTAATAACTCATGGACAGATAAAAGTTGTGAATTTGTTACATTGAATTTCAGTATTTATTTTAATGTCAAACAGAGAACATGAGGCTAATGGTTCATTTTTCTGAAGTACGTTTCTGTCCAAGTTCAATGAAAATTTGTAATATTCTATCGAAAAATAAGTCTAGAAGTTATGGTAAATTATAAAAGAATAAGTTCTGATATTTTTTGACCTTCAATATCAAATATGGGTGGAAATTTAAATGATTTTTCTTATATGAAAATACCTTGGGGATGGTCCCGATAAAATTGCATCAAGGCTGGCGTGTAAACTTCACGTACGAGGTATTCACGTTCTGGAATCTTCAGAAAATTTCGCATTTGTTTCTTGGTAACATAAGACAATAACTTCTATTCTTCATTCTTAATATAAAAGGTTATACATTTTGCCTACCCTAGAGAACATTGAGTCAACTTTAGTTATCATTATTAACAAGAACTTTCCAATATCTCTTTTTTTATTTTAATCTAGACCCCAAATGGCAATGTTGAAGCACGTGTTGCTTGTTTCTATCGTCGTCGTGATATCTCTTCATATCTAATCAATCAAGTTGATCGTCTTAAACTCGATGGTATTTTTGATTGAAAATTTGCCTCTAAAAATTAATTTTTGATTATTTATTTATTTTCAAAAGTTCCATGGGAAGATGAGGATGAAATAACGAATGATACAGGATCAACAAACCTAAGTGGGCAACAAATTGAATTAAATGATATTCAAAAACATCAATTACGTCATCGTGAATTATTTTTAACACGTCAGAATGAAACATTATTAGCAACAAATATACGTGGAAAATGTTTAGTTGTTCTACATAATGAAACTGAAACATTTTCATCATATCTTAATTCTGAGGTTTTATTAGAAAATAAATATAAAAATAAATTATATTATTATTTTATTTATTTAAAGGATCTTTTTTTTTATCAACTTGTTTATGATCCAAATCAAAAAACTTTAAATGCTGATCGAGGTGAAATTCGAGTTGGTGGAAAATATCAAGCTGATGTAACGATTCAACCATTATCTAATGATACAAACCAAGGTATTAATAAAATATTTATTTCGAGCGGTGTGTCCAGCGAGGGCAGGGATCACTCACAGTGCACAGAAAACGAGGGCCAGGAACAATTACTGAACCTAATAACTTGGTACTTTGTGTAATTATGTATCATCCTTGCTACTGTTTATCTATGCTTATCTAGCCTATTTTACCAAATCATGTTTTCTATGAAACTTATTCATTGCAAAAATTTCAGCCTTTGTAGTTGTTTCTATCATAAAATACGAATTTAAGCACAACATTTGCTGGATCACACGATAATATTTCTGACATTCGTATTTCAAGATAGAACTAACGAGAGGAAAAACTCAAACTTTCAAAATAAACTAGTATCAATATGAAAATTATTTGTGCAAAGTTTCACGTTGAGCTGAGAAGGACTACGAAACTTTGTTGAGAAATTCAGTAAAAGTTTGATTTTGTACGAATGAGAACCTTGAAATCTAAATCATTCTAGACTATTTTATCAGTTGCTAGTACTCATTGAATTAACATCAACTTGATCCAGAAGTAATTTAGCACATGGAGAGACTTCTTTGTAAGTTATCAACGTTTGTCAATAATAACTCCAAAGTTGAAAACTATTTGTAGATTGTCTTTAGAACCGAACCATTGATGTAAAAACTTTGAAAATTTATATGTTTGAGCTTGTATGGCTTATTTAAAGCTTTGACAATCTGAAAGATAAGTAACCATAGTAGAAGTCAATTAGGACCGATCTATATTCAAGGCTATATTTGGGATAATGTATCTCTATTAGGGTTTGGATCCACATTTTTGCACATCCAATTAAGTTGTATAGTGATATGCTATATCCGATAGGAAATTAAAATTATAATAATAAAAGTCTCGAAAGAATTCGACGAAAGAACTGCATTATTCACCAGTCGGTGTGCTTTGGTATACTACGTGTAGCTTTTGAGCCTTAGTGGCACAGAAAGAAATTCAGAAAGCTCAAAAGATCTGTAGTATAAAGTAAACATATAACGCTAAATAACTGTATTATATCTAATGAATATCACTAAAATTTCATTGTGAAACAGAAATTTTAGTTATAGAGGCTTATTAGTGATATTCATCTATTTTACCTACTTTGTATTATCTGCTACAAAATGGTTACTTGTTTGCAATCAGAAGTTAAATGCAGATTCATAGCAGGTTTAATGCCGGCTGCAACTTCGATTCAAATATTAAAAATCAATTTTGTTGCCTGACTGTCCACTATGTAACTCCCCTCGTTCAATCTTGGCGATTTCAGGACATTTACTGTTTATTTTAATAAATAAATCTATTTTTGTTTTTAAAGACACATTATCATCAAGAGAAGATTTAATCTGGAATGCAAATGGTGGTTTAACAGAAAAACAAATTGAACAATATTTAATTGTTGCAAGGTATTCATTATTTATTTAATTTTAAAAAAATTCTATTAAAATAAATTTTATTAGATCCATCGGTACATTTGCTCGTGCACTTGATTGTCCAACAGCATTAAAACATCCAAGTCTTCATATGAGTGCAGCATCAGCATCACGTGATGCAACATTAGTAAAAAACAAAATTTAAGAATTTATTTTTTGTTTTAATTGATTAAAATATTTTTTATTTGTTTAAAGTTTTTCGCAATGGATACATTACATAAACATCATTATGATTTAGCTTTAGCTACATGTAGTTTAGTACCAAATACAGGACCAATACTTGTTAAAGATCAAATGGAAGATTGGTCTGCTGCTGAAGCTAATTCATTTGAAGATGCTGTTGAAAAATGTGGAAAAGATTTTCGTGAAATACAAAAAGAATATGTAAGAAAAAAAAATATTTTTTAAGAAATGAAAATTCATATTGAAGTTTTAGTTACCATGGAAAAGTTTAAAAGGTATTATTGAATATTATTATATGTGGAAAACAACAGATCGTTATGTTGTTCAAAGACGTTTAAAATTAGCTGAACAAGAAAATAAATTAAAACAAGTTTTTATACCAAATTAGTTCGTATTGAACTTTATTTTTTTAATATTCATATTTTGATTATTTTTTTTTTTTTTTTTAATAGTAATAAAGCACATCAATGTTTAATTCCACAACGAATACAAAATGAAATTAAACCATGTGAATCATGTGGAAGTATGTGCATATCAAATGTAGAACGATTATACATAAATATTTTTTGATTTTTTTTTTTCGTTTAGCAACGTCATCATTGCAATGGTATCAATGGAGTACAGCTCAACCACATACAAGACTTTGTGCGGAATGTTGGATTTATTATAAGAAATTAGGTGGTTTGAAATATTTGAAAAAAAGTGGTAAGATTTTTTTTGCATTGTGAGTTAGAAAAATAAATAATATTGATTTTTATATATTGAATTTGAGGTCCTGATCGACGACAAGGTATGAAAAATTTTATTGAAAATATTTTTTGATTTATTTATAAGAATTATTTTAGAACGAGCTGCTAATATCACTAAATTGGTTAGTTATAAATGTAATGTTAATGGTTGTGAAAAGGTATGTTGACAAAATTTATATAGAATAGAATTTATCTTCATTCGAAGACTCTTAACTATAAGAAATTCTTGATTTCTTTTTGCTAGAAAAGGTTCTAATCAGTATAAAATACTTTCGTATGACTCTAGTATACGCCTTTTTAGTTAAATCTTTGATGGACGAATTTTGGATATCTAAGTTCTTTTGATACTGACGATGCAGTCAAATAGATCGTGATCGAGATCATCATGCATGAGGATATGAATGTTCTTGGGTATGAATAAAAGATTCACACTCATACCTTTGTTTTATATCAAACAGATGGTGCAACAACCGCATGCGATATAAAATAAGCAACGAGGTCATCGCAATATCGTCGTTCTTTCCACCAGAGTCATTGATCCCATAGTTCTGCGATCGAAAACAAAAAAGTAGTACATATTTGTACCATCGTCTGTCTGAGAGTTAAAGTATATCGAACGTTTATGACCTCTTGAAATTCTCTTTCTACTTCTATTTGCCTATTCTTGTTCAATATTGCTGTGTCTTATTGATTTTTTTCAATGTTAGCCTCAAAAGATTCTTCAAGCAAAGATCTGTCCTAGGGTGGAAGTGTCCGCGAGAGCAATTGTCCCGCTTCGAAATAAATTTAGAATCGTCTAAATTTGAATATTTATTTATAAAGATAGCGACATATGATTTGATTGTTGTTCAGAAATGGTTATGTTATACTCAGACACGAACACAACTAATCCAGTTTTATTTAATAAGATACTAAAGATAAAAAATTCAATTTATTTAGGAATATAAAAATAAAGCTGCTCTTCAACGTCATTATGCCATATCCCATGGAATAATGTTTCGTTCTGGTAGTCCACGTCCATTATCAAAACCACGTAATACATTTGCTTTATATACAACACCATTATCACGTGCTATTCGTCCATTATGTTCAATTCGACATCTTGCACGTTGTCTATCATTTACAACTGATATGAATGATATACTTCATCAATGGGAAATATTTATTAACGAAAAACCATCACGTGATATTCGTAATATATGTACATGTCTTCATAATTTATATAAACAAAAAAATGAACAAAGAAAATGTAAACATTTATATGATTTATTTCCATATAAAGATGAGAATGAAACAAATAAAACATTCGATGATTATATGCCTAAATATGAAGAAAAAATAAATAATGATAATGAATCAAATTTACCATTACGTTATCCAAAATTACAAGATAATTCAGCCGATTTTTATGCACAATTTACTCATTTAAATATAAGTATTATGAAAAAACGGCCTTATGAATCAAATGAAAATTCAAATGATGGTAAAAGAAAATAAAAAAAAAAAAAAAACTTCAATTCTATTTGTCTTTGATAGGTCCATCACCAAAACGAACATTAATTACTCGACAAAATTTAATTAAAAATAAATCACCTGTAAGTCAAACAAACAAATGACAATTCGTTTTTATAGATCTTTAATAGAATGTTAAGTTGTCTATCATTCATATCTCCGAAAAACGACATTAATCATGTCATTGATTGTTTTCCTTGAAGGTGTATAATCAAACAAATTAAAAGTGCATGGATAATACTTTTGTGAATTTCTTTTTTTACTGTTCATCTCAATAATGAGTATAGTAAACTATTAAAGACAATAGGAAAGATGCAAGTATATTGCAATCTTTCACTGATTCTTTAATTTTCTAAAGTCATTCTTTTCATATAGAAAGGTTTATTAACAGATTCAGAATTTTAATGTCAATAGAGATCAATTCTTCTAAAACTTGTCTAAATTAGTACTTTAAAATCTAAGACAGATCATTCGGAATTTTTAGAATTCTTTTTTATCGTGACACGAAAGATGTATGATTTAACAGAATGTTGACAAAAATCTAGAATTGTATAGCAGCTAGTTCTTTACAATGTTAAGGAATCTTGATATTCACTATGGATAACTACTCAAAAATTACAGTGTTATTGAGTATCGCAGCTGGAATTGAATCGATTCAGGACGATCTTTGATCTTAACTATACATAAAACTGTCACTAACTTCTAATCAGAAAGCATACAAATTTGATCGAATTATTATCTTGTAGAAAATTGTTGATTCTGCAAACTTTTTCTTCTGATACTTACACAAATAAATGAAAAATCTTGAATTTCATGTTCGAATGCAAGTCTTGTCATAGCAGAAGTTCAGCTAGAAGTCTAAGGGAGCAGATTTCTTTGATTCTCGCTTAAAGTTTTTTTTTTAAATTGTCCTTTTCGTCATATTTTTTTTCCAATTGAGAATTCATCTCTGTGAAATGATGATATTTCATGGATTTAAATTCCATGTAGTAAATAAATTTGTATTTTTATTCATCTTAAAATTTTGTCATTCTTATTTGACAAGCTTTTTCAGGCCATTCAATGCTGATACATTACTTTTTCCTACTCGCTTTGCCATGATTAGGAAGCTGCGGATCCACATTTTTGTGCACCCGGATTCAAACCCGAGGTTTTTCCCATCAATACCTGCCACACTTTGTGTGCTTGAACAAGTAAAGGATCAAAGTTTTAGCTATTTATTCGCTACTCTTTGAAAAAAATTCAACGTACAGTTATATCTCGTTATTGTATGTCTCATCTGAAGAGCAGCGGATCCACAAAAACGTGTAACCGGGTCCAACAAAACTTTGGACTCGGGCTCGGATCAGGCCCGAGTATGGAAGGACCTGCAGCTCTCTAGTCATGATTCTCCTAATTGAATACTCGACTGAAGCAATATCTAGAATCATAAATGAACACTGATCACGTCTTATAACTTGAATATTTAGTTCTTTCATATAAGCAATAGTCTTGTTTTTTTTCGTTGTATAATTTAATATAATGTCTTGCGGAAGAATCATGCTGAAGAAATGGTTCTACGTGAGTCACTCTGAAAGTTTTTAGGTTCTTGATTAAATTTAGTAGCTATATACTAATTTAGTATTTGTGGTAGTAGACCCGAGTCTTATAAGAAAGTTCACAAAGTTTTGGTTCTTGGATATTTCTCCTTTCGTTTTGTTGTAGATTAAGTGATATTAGGTTGGAAATAATGCATTGCCCGAGGGATATCGCTATAGTTTTAAATAGAGTAAATAATGAGTTTTATACCAAACGAAAGCTCATCAAAAATGAGGTTTAGTGGTACTAAACAAGAAGAGTTATGAAAATTTTCTAATGTTCGTTTGGTATAAAATTCAACATTTACTCTATTTAAAATTCTAGCGATAGCCCCTGGTGAAATATTATTTTCAATCTAATATCACTTAATCTACAACAAAACGAAAGGAGAAATGTTCAAGAGCTAAAATTTTGTGGATTTTACTCCAAGACTTGGATCTACTATTACAACTATTAAACTCATATATATCTATTAAATTTAATCAAGAATTTGAAAAACTTTCAGAGTGACTCACGTATTATATGTTTGATATGGTATTTACTGGTAATTATAGAATTATGTTAAATAAACTATAACTGCATTTCATTATAAATATTCACTCCTATTGAAACTATTAGAACCAAATGATCTAAATTATCATTTCGTTAGATTTTTTTTCAATGTTTTTCTTAGTAATCGATTACTTCTAGTATAATCTGTATTTTTAATACGTTAGTATGTATAAGAATAAAATCATATGTAGTTTGTAGTTATCGTAGATTTCTATAAAAGATTGCATAATTGACGATAAATCGACTGAGTCCTGTATCATATATTTTTGAAATAAGAGCTGGATATTATCGATGTATCGGTTATTTCTTCTATTCTTGATGTCAGATTCCCGTTCTCGTAGATCTCTGAGTTCAATTTACTTATTCAATTCATATATGATAATTCTTTTTGAATAGGCATGACATTAATCTATGTATAATGATGTTATTTTTTTTCTAGAACCCAGTAAAATTATCACATTCACGTGCTTATACTGTTCCATTTGTTGATCGTAAGTTTAATTTAGAATAGATTTTAATAGAATAATTTTTATTGGATATTTTATTTTAGCTCCCGATGGCATTTATTTACGTGTAACAAAAGATATTAAGTAAATTTTATTTAAATATTTAGTTTAAATAAAAATTCTATTGATGAATTTTAGACGATTAAGAAAAGAAATTCCTCAAAAAGAAATTCGTCGTATTGCGCGTGCCCCATGGAAAAAGCTCAATACAAATTTTGTCTCGTATGTTGATGATGATATTGTTGTATTAGATTAGATAAATGTGCGTATTTTTGGCTTTTTTTTTTGTATATAATACGTATATCAATATGTTTTTCTTTTCGTACCGGATTATGCTATTAAAAAGTCAAAAAAAAAAAAAAAAAAAAAATTTTTTCTTTTTTGTTGTGACTGACTTGGTCTCTTTTTTTTTCCATGTTGTTAATAATGATGAGAAGATCAATTTCAAGTTCATTGATTTTCTTTTCATGTTATTAATCATTGCAGATTTTTTTTTTGTGTGCGTTCTCATTGTCTAGATCTTTTCAAAATAAAAAAAAAAAAAAATATTCATCAATAAATTTCTTTTTATTACGTATGTGTGTGTATGTGTTGATACACTTGACTGATTTGCTCGAGTGAGCAGCTGAGTTTGAAAAATGATGATGAGATAAAAAGGTTTTTTTTCTTATATTTAATATCGAACATATGAACACGCAAGAGAGCTATTTGAAATAGTATATAAAAAAAAAAAAAATTGTGAGAGAGAGAAGACAAATTATTTATTACAAATAGTACGATGGATCAAATAAATGTTCAACGATGGGCAAATTCTTTACGTCAATTTCGTCAAAATCATTTTCAGGTGAGGATTCGATTTTTAAAGAATTAGTTTCTATTCAAGAAGAAAAGATATTAATACGCTTTCTTCTATGACTTTATCGAGATCACCATTTACATATATAGTTGTTATATATTTATGTTATAATGATGTTGAACATAAGCACATATTGATTAAATATGAGAGAACAAGATAATGATCATATTCGATCCTCTTTTTAGATGACCCTATCTATTTTCTGATATTCTTCTTCTCATTTATCATCTCATTATAAAAATACTAATTTTCTTTCCAATGTCTTGGAAAACTGATTATTGTTAGTTAATTACTAATGTTACTTCTTCATAATCTACTAACAATGGGACTAGACAAATTTTATCACAACAATATTTTGTGCTAACATCATCTGAATTAAGTATTACTGACAATTAATCATTCATACTGTCATCTACATGCGGTAAGATATGTTAACATGACAAACAGAACAAAAAAAATTCATTGTACGGATGACTTTGTTTTACATTTCTTTCTTTCTTTACTAAACAAAAAGAGTTTGTGAGATCGAATGAATGAAAATAAACGTTATTGAATAGTCTATTGTGTTTTTTTTTCCTTTGTTTTAGTCACCGATTATGACCGGCGTCTATGTAGATAATCAAAATGGTCTTCGAAATGCATCAACAACAATGAAAACAAAAGAAAATGAATCACCTAAAGACGTATGTATGAGAGAGAGAGAGAGAGAGATTACAAATATTAACAATATTTATTCGTTTTTCTCGTTTAGAATCCGAAATATTCTTTTACATTAGGTGAGAAAAAAATTTTCTTTAATAACTTAATCTTCTTAGATTATTTTAGATTTTCCATCTTCCAAAAAAGATTCTTATCGTACATTAATAAAACCAGTAAGATCCGACAACAACAAAAAAAAATTGTCAAACCAATATGAATTTTTTTTTCTAGCAACTTTATACATTTGATATGACAACTAAAGATGAAGAAAATTTTCATTGTCCATCGGATATTCAACTTTGTGATAATCAAACATCAAATATCATCATTCCATCATCAGATCATCATGATATTGATACATTAAGTGATTCTGGTACTTATATAATTGAAGATGATGGTGATATTGCACATGATGATGAATTAGAACAAAAAAATAATTCTTCATCAACATTTAAACGATATGTAAATCAAATAAAAAATCGTCATGGAACATTTGATATACATCAATTAGTATCATCAACAACAAAAACAATTAATCGTCCTATTATTGATTCGAATATTTCAACAAATGAATTCATTTCATCATCATCATCAATTCTTTCATTTTCAAATGAAAATGATGATAACATACATAAAGAATTTGAAGATACATTTGAAAATAAATCTTCTAATGGTCTTATTGATACATCAAATGTTTTTTTGCAACAACAATCAATAACATCATCACAAAATCAAATAAAACCAGCCGAATATTTTGGTGAAATATTTAATAAAGAAAACTTTTATTTATGTTTTTTTCTTTTTATTTAAGTTATTTCACCAACATTGGAAATAAAACCTTTTCCGACTAAAAATATTCATCGACGAAAAAGAGATACTTCACAGAAGTAAATATTTGATTTTTTGAATTATTTCTAATATATAAATTCGTTTAATTTAGAACAAAATTAAGAGAAAAATCTATTCCTATTAAAGATCCAAATGTCAATCAATCAATATCTTCTCCATTATTATCTCGTTCTAATCAAAATCCTATAGAAAAATATTCATTTTATCTTGAAAAACAATCACCTTCTATCGAATCATCTATTCAACCACAAACAACTATAAATGAACAAACATATCCCTTAGAATCATTTCAACGTAATTCAACCATATGTCAAACAACATCTACAAATTCTCAATATCAACCACAGACATCTTCATCATCATCATCATCATTAACAACAAATAATAATGATTGTGATGAAATAAAACCAAATTTTACAAAATTTTATATGAATAAAACATTTATATTACGTCAACAAAGTTCAAATATTTTATCATCAACATCAAAACCAATTCAACAACAGCAACAAATTTTATCAAAAACATTATCATGTCAAAATTCAAAATCAACTAGAACAATTTCATCAAAAATTAATTCAAATAGGCAGATAAATCGAACTGTTCAATTACGTCGTGCACGCGCACAAGCAAAAATCGAAGAATTATCTCAACGCACAACAAAACAATTATATAAAAGTGATCATCAAAATGATATAATGGGTACATCATTGGATAGTGATGCTAGTAGCAGTAGTAAAAAAGAGTTGATCAATTTACGATCAAATCCTCAAACAACAACAAAAACAAATATAACATCTCCTCGACAAGATATGTTAACAACACGAACAATATTATCTTCATCAAATCATCGATCTACATCCGAAAGTCCAAAACTACATGAAGAAACACCATCAAGATATCGAAATGCTATGATATCAATTGTCACAAATGAAGAACAATATCAAAAAACAAGTATAAGCGCTTCTAGTATTGAAGAAGTAATGAAAATCTTTTTCTTTTTTCCTAATATCAATAAATTAATCATGTATTTTAGGAACGATGTGATTCATTACGTGATAATGGACAAAGGTTAGCAATTAAATTAATTCAACTTTCATCTGGAATATTAGAAAAATTAAAGTAAAAGAAAATATTATCGATTGATTTTGATTTACTTGTTTGTTTTTTCTTGTTAAACATCTAGACCAAATGAATCTATTACTGATGATGATATCAGCTTACGTGAATTACAACAAATTGTTGATAAATTGGAAACGATCAATCGAACATTAAGCTGTATGTATAATTGAATCTTATTTGAAAAAACTTACTGAATGCGAACTGATAATTTCGAAAAAGAAGCCGGATGTTTTATTGTAAATCTCTCCAAAAAACATAGTATATCTTGCTTTTTTTTTTACACTATTCCATAATTTGTCTATATAGCCTTTCATTTTTATTCTTGTCAATGTATTGTATCAAACAAAATAGGAAACCTAATATAATACTCGATAATTTCTGGAAGTGAAAGAGGTTAACAAGTCGTCAAATTTCCACAGATAATGCGGAGCGAGAGAAATTTAGTGCACTCAGCTCGCACCTCATTGGAATCTATGATGCAAAGCAATGACATAAGACAATTGTTTCTCGAACTAATATTTAATATTTTAAAAATCTGCAAAAAGAAATCAGAACACTTTCCTCGTGAGCAAAAGTTTCTACATCATCTATACGATGAGATACAAAAAAACAACCCGAACTGTCAACTATTATCAATCGCAAATTCTGATTCTCGGAATCAACCCCTCAATTATATCCACAAATGTGTGGCTATGATTTGGGAATTGATTTCGAGAAGTAGAACTTACGATCAAATGATTAGGCATGCACCAAATCCAAATCTAGTCAAACCCAAATCCAATTCTTTATTTGGGTTTGACTGGGTTTGACTTGGATTTGGATTTGGGTGTGACTGGATTTGGATTTTGTGCACCCCTACAAATGATAGGTACTCATCCAAACGACTTTGTGATCAAGAAGTTTTCCTTCGAAATGTTATCGTCACTTTTGTTAGGATGCCAGCGACTAAAACGAGAGCTTTCTTCTCTAGATATGGAATAGAGAAAAAAAAAACTATGTATTTCTATGAAATATAATTGATTTTTAAATACTCAGTAACTAAAAAGAAAGCTTTCATATTAACGAAAAGTTTTAGGATATACTAAGAATAAGATTTACGGTTGAAATTTGGAATTTGAGGTTCTTCTAAATGCTTTGCCCAAAGCTTAAATCTCGATAAAATCATTATGATTCTAGAAAAAGAGACTCTTGAACGCGTATAATTTCAATCTTCTCTGAAAGTTTTAGGTCAATTCATTGAACTCCTACGGAGTTATGGATCTCCAAAAAAAATATATAGGTTTTTACAAACCGATGGTTATAGAAAAATGAATACAGCTCGTGAACGAGTTGACGAACTTACACGAAATTTATATGACAGATAGTTGAAGCATAGCATCACATCATGATGGATCTATTGACTTGAAATGCTCTTCTCTCCTAAATTTATGAAGATCAAAGCAAAAGTTGACAGCATCCATCGTAACTCGGTTTTTCTTTTAAGAAATCGGGATGCGGGTGATGCCACTGGCATACATTCTTGGTGAAGTATGTACACATAAATTTTCAGAACTCTAGCTCTTATGGTGACTGAGAACCGATGGGGGAGAAAAGACTTTTATCCATGGGTGTAAAAATTTCATAGGAAAAATGAAGCTTAATGAATTTCTAATTTAAATAATTATTGAATCTATTTTAGTTATCGATGCATCATTAACCGATCCAAGCAATATTGATCGTTCTGTCTAATCAAACGATAGATTTTCATCGTCTACATTTCGAAGAAGAAATTATTTATTTATTTTTCTTGTTAAACAGTATTGATTGAACTCTCATTTATTTTATATATTTTGTTCTTATCTATTTATATGTTTTTATTTGTATTTATATATGTAAAATTAATTAAATATATCATTAGAAAATTAATGTTCTACGATAAAAAAAACAAAAAAAATCTCTCATATTTCTTATAGATAAATAAATATTTGATTTTTTTTTTCTGATGCTATGCGATCAGCTTATCATTCAATATTAAAGTGGTCATTTTTAACAGGAACATCAACAATATTATTAAAATTATGTTATGAAAGTTTATATAATGTATCTTTAAGAACATCAAATAAATCTATATCAACTTATGAAAATACTTTAATTTCTTGGGCATCAACTGGTCAACGTTCAAAAACAATTCAAAATAAATTAATTGATACAAAAATTCCTGATAATTTACAATTCATTGGTGCACAAATTTATTTTCGACATGGCGCTCGGACACCACTTAGTTTATTACCAGGACTTGAAGAAGTATATTTTAAATAATAACAATTCGATTATTTGGTTTTTTTTCTTGTCTTCTAGGTATCTTATACTAAAGAACATATTGAAATTTATCCACCATCAAAATGGGATATTAAATTAATTACAAAATTAGGTAATGATATTGTATCAAAAGATAAAATATTATCAGCAAATGATATTATTGGTGATAGAATTAAACAATTAAAAGTTTGTTAAATATTAAAAAGAAAAAATATTTTTTAAAATTTCTTTGTTTTTGTTTTTTTTTCAGTCAGCTTCAGATGTAAAAGTAGTTACAGGACAATTAACAGCAATTGGTGAAAAACAATTATATCAACTTGGAAAATTAATAAGATCTCAAATAATTAAACAAGATAATAATGGACTTATACCAAATATTTATGATCCAAATATTGTCTAGTATATAATATTCAAATATTATCTTCATTCACTTACAAAAAAGAATTGGTTTCAGTTAGATTTGACAGATTTTTCTTTTTGTTTTGTGAAAAATTTCTTTTCAAAACGGATAGTTTGAAACTCCAAACACAAGAACACGTAGTTCTTGAGTCAATGACTCTAAAATTCTGGAAGAATAAAGTTAATCTTCGGAGAGAATCGTTTTCTGAGCCTCTATACTGAATAAAACATTTATTTCGTGTAAGATACCTAATTAATTTTTCTTACGTTCAACGGATCAAAAAAATCTACAAAACTTTCTCAACATTTGTGTTTCACGTCAAATGATGCAGACTTATGAAGAGGTTAATTATAGTTTCAGTCAACATTCAGATGAATTATCACACTTCGATATTCTATTGGATAAAATTTTAATGAAGAGAGAAAATGTTCTTCATATCTAACGAGAGGAAGGTCTTCGACTGATCCCAGCCGCTTTCAATGACATTTTGTCCGTATGTCGTGGATAGTATTCTAGAAAAAATTATAAGAGAGTTTGAGTCGATGGTACTTCCTTCGAAGATTATGATCATTTTACTGGTTTTTCTACCTAGTATAAGATATATGGGGAAAAATTGAATAACAGAATTTCAATCTGAAATTTTGCTCATATGTAGCTCTTGTGACTATTAGAACATTCGAAAAGTTTCAGTGGGAAAAAAATGTTTTATTTTGAAGATATTCAATTTTAAAAAAAGTCAATCTTTGAGGACTTTATAGATTATGAGACAAGTTTTTAAGAATCAATATCTTCAGAAGGAAACATTTTTTTTCCAATGAAACTTTTAAAGTATTCTAGTGACCACAAGAGTTACATATAAGCAAAAATTTCAGATTGAAATTTCATTGTTCAATTTTTCCCTATATATCGTGCACTAGGTGAAAAAAATCAGTAAATTGGTCATAACTTTTGAAGGAAGCACCATCGACCTAAACTCTCTCACGATTTTTTCTAGAGTACCCCTCCCAGAATAAAAAGACATGGCCTTCTCTTACGTTCAAGTGAATTGGCCTTTTGGGGGTAGTCTTCTATTATGGATTTTCGTCGGAGAATTCTTCCTATAGTTATGCTCAATTTTGATTCAAATTTTGGATTAAATTCAATAATAATCGAATTAAGTGTTTGCTTTCTCTAAGGTATATGTTTCTTCACGTGTATATCTTGACTATATGTAAAATAATAGAGATAGAAAAAAGAGTAGTCACTCACCCATTCATACGGATTGGTCACTTTTTGCGTTCTGTCACTGATGCGCGTTATCCATTGGAGAAAATTCGTGTATCTATTTATTGTGTGATGTAACAGAACGAACGAAAAGCAATATAACGAATTTTCTCTCGTTTAGATAACGTCCGTCAGCGACAGAACGAAAAAGGTGACCAATGTGAGTGACTGCTATTTTTTCCATCTATGATATACTCTATATGTACAAAATTGAACTGCATGGCGTTCTATTATGTCTAACGAATCAAACTTTTGGGGGTGACCTTCTATTTTAGAGGGGAGGAGATTTACTATCCCCAACATATGGATAAAATATCACTGAAAACAATGTGGATCAGTTGGGAGACCTTTCATTGTAAATAATTTCTATCTAACAAATGTATGTTTAGTTACTTTAGATATTTTGGAAAATTAGCTCTATAGACATTTGTTCCATTAGAGTAATTATTGAACAACTAGCGTTAGTGATATGACATAAAAAAGAACACAGGTTTTCACTGCTTGTATTTCCCTTTACAAATACTGCAACTTCAAATAGTTTTTGGAAGATTAAATTTTGTGCGTTTTGTGAAGGATGCTTCAGGCTACAAAAACTCTATCAAAAGTTTTTCCTGAACATGTATTGGTTTTCAAAAAGAAAAACATAATTTATTTGTTGGTAGCGATACGAGTGAGTACGAATATAGGAATGAAAGATCATCTTGTAATTGAATGAGAAGTTCGAAAACCAATTCTAAATGGTACAAATTCTCATTGAGGCTTTCGAGATTATATCAAAGCAAAAAATTTTGTTCCTACGACATTAACAAACCTCTAGAAAAAAATCGATTTTGGTGTTGCAATTTTTTGGAATTTAATCTTGCTGAAAATGACACCACATATCAGGCAAAATAAGATATTTACACCTTTCATTTGAGTTTTATTTTGTATAAGAGTGAATTTTTTGGATAAATTCTTTTAGCATAGACTTATATGAAAATATTTGGTCTTTCACATGATTATTAATTACAAAGTAATTAGCGAATATTTCGCTAACTAAAATGAGAAAAAATCTGAAAATCTCAGGATAGATTCTAGAGCATAAGTCATATCTATAGTGAAATTTTCAGCAACATTGGGCTTCAAAAAATTTCTTCTAAAAAACTAGTTTTCTAAAGATCCTAAAAAGTGCAGAAACGAAAACTTTTGTTTTATCATCATCGAGGAACTCTGAGTAATGGCTTGTAATGTTTGAAGTCTATTTGAAACTTTTCAGTTGGTAACAAGATCATATTCTCGGTTGTGTAGTCGTACTACGTCACGTCGCTAACGACGAATAAATCGATTTTTTTGAAATATCTATGCATGTTCAGAAAAAATTTTACATATAGATTTTATAGCCTCAGAAGTCGTCTACGAAATGCTCTATTTAGTTTTTGTAAATTTATGCATGAATTAGGAGTTTTAAAATCGATGTCCTTTTTTTTGTGTCATGTCGCTAACGGTAGTTTTTTAACAATAATTCCTCAGAATAAAACTCTATAGCAGTGAATTTTTTAGGGTATCTCGAGTAACTAAATGTCTATATAACATATAAAAATCAGATCTAAAAAAGCTCATTATTCCGATGATACACATATTTTAATTTTGCGAAATCACGTCCCCAACGAATGATTTAACCAATATATCGTTGGTGGTTTAAAGTCTGTATTAAAATTCTTTGAGCTTATCTGTTATTAGATTAGAGAGTTATTCACTAATTACAATTTAATTAGTTAGATAATTAAGTACGAGCTGAAAGGCCCAATATATATATGTATATACTCGTGGAAAAAGAACTTGTTCGAAAAGTAAACCCTTCTAAAGAATCAAAGTCAAATAGGAGATGATCATGTTCCATTTTCGCTGATTTTGCCCATATATCAAAAGTAACAACTACACATGTATTTATAAATCTAGAATTCATTTCATCGAGCCATTGTTATCCTACGGAACTATGATTACTATTTGAGTGTAAGTGTTACATGCAAGTAATTCAGAATCAAAAGTAGTTCATGAAATGTCACTCATTTCGCTATGTTTATAAAACTTGATAGAATTTGTATGATTTCGAGATTATCTGTTAAACTGAAATTTGATATTCTAATATAATGAATAACTAAAGTAGTGATATTAAAGTTTAAGTGATATAGGATTATATTTAATGAAAGTATTGATCTTCTTGATATATTTTTCTACTAGTTGTCGATCAACATATATGAATCGAACTATAGCCAGTGCTCGATCATTTCTTGCTGGTCTATTCTCATCAGAAAATGACGATAATAAAATACAAGCTAAAGGTATTTTATATTATAAAACATAGAAAAATATAAAAAATTTATTATATAAAAAAGGTCCTTTCGAAATTGAAGTTCATAATTTTCCAGATGAAGATATGGTAAATAATTCTTCTTCAATTAAATTAAATAAAAAGTAAAGATTTCTTTTGTTTTTTGTGAAGTTTCCAAATTCAAAAATGTATCCAGCTCTAAAGAAATGTCATACAGCTTTAGAATTATATAGATTATTACATGATGATCATGATTTAAAAAAAGCTCGTCAAGCATTAATTAATCATATTGGTAAAATTTTCTTTTTTCAACGCTTTGTTTTTTTTTATTCACAATCAATTCTTTATTTTATTAGGTGTTGCAGATTATCCTCATGGAATTGTTGAATTATATGATGAATTTGTTTCAAGACAAGTTTGTAGAATTGATTTTGAATTCTTTTTTTAAATATGTAC